CACCAGCTGGTATCCAGCCGCTCACAGAAATGGAATTGTGAGTCACAGCCAAAATTAAGGCCATGCAGATCTCTGTGTGCAGCAATTCTTGCAGAGTATATGGGCTTCATTTGCATAATTAGCTTGTTCTTGCTCAATGGTCTCCGAGTGGGGCTGGGAGAAGCCCTATGTGGATCAGCACAGGATTGCTTTTGGCACAAGAATGGTGCAGTGATAAATAGGTAATTTTAAGCTTTGGGTTGGACATGAGACACCTAAACCAAAGCAGAGTGAAGCTGCTGTGCTCAATAGACACTTCTCACAATTGTTTTTAAGACAACTGTTGGTGCTCTTATCCTCCTGTCAAGTTTGATCCACAGCAGCAAATGGGTGAAAGCACCCAAAAATCAGCAGTCACCATCCAGGGATGGCTTCCATAGGAAATGAGGCTGATAAAGGAAATCTAATATTAATTCACACTGGAGCTATGCTGGAGATTTTGGATCTTCTACGAGATTTCTTGGGCATTATATGCCATTAAAAAACCAAAAGGCAAGGAATGATGCTTTAAAGAATTATTACCCTTGTATTTATTTCACTAATACACGTAGGCTGAATCTCTTCTAACCCATCAGAGGTCAGAAAAACAGCCCCCTTGTGTCAACACCTTCAATCAATAAACTTGATTAATTGGCACAAAGAGATAGTGTGGATCACTGAGCAAGTTTCCAGTAGAATGGAATAACCAAAACCTCAAACAGAGGCAGGTTTGCTTCTAAGAATAACCACCCAGCTGATAAAATACAAGTATGACTTGAGTGGTAAATATATTTAAGGATAGGGCAGTGAACAGAGAGAGTTCTAGATCCCCTAGGAACCTCAACCCAAAAAGATGTATTTTCATATTATGCTTATGTTTTTTTCAAATGTTAATTGTGACTTCCAAGAAGGAATGTGGGTTCGTTAGAGGAGAAGGAAAATTTTCAAATCATATGTCACTAGATTCAGTTCAGTGACCAGGCAAATCAATAAAGATTAATTTTACTTAACTCCCTTTTTTCCATATGTAACCTCTACCAGAAGAGGATATGAGAAAGATGCATTTACATCTTCCTGGGAAGACAGAAATACCTCGAGGGATCAAGGATTCAAATGAGGAACATCCTCACAGCTCATCCAGACTCCAATTTGTACGTGCAGAGCTTAACTTGTACTGACTCTACCAGTGCAACAGAACTCATCCCATGCCATGACAGATGGTTCCAACAGCTCTTACAACAGCACCATAAAAGTTACCACTTCACATTGCACAAGTTTCTCTGGGCTGTCCAGTAATCTCTGCCTCTCACTCCGAGTTTATCCTCGACTTTGCACACAGCTGTTTATCCTCCAGTATTCAAGGCACGCTGTTTAATTCCAGTGGGCAATAATGGGAAAAAGGAGCAGGGACTGGATGGCACCGTGATGATTTGAAATTGGTACCTGAGACCCATCAAGTCCCTTGGGAGCAGTTCCTCAAAAATGACACCAAACCCAAACATCTGAACAACTGACTCAGCTGCTTTTTCAGTCCCTCGTGGAGTTTGATCAAGGGCAGGCTCAGCAGAACAACTTCAGGGCCCAGGCTGCCCAGGATGACACCTTAGGGATCACACTGCTCTTTAATTACAAAGGTGCAAATCTGGGCTGTGATTATCAGTCGCTGTTGAACCTGAGATGCAGAAATCACGTAAAATGGGGCTCAAGTTCCTGCTCACAGTATTCTGAGAACCAGACAAGAAATGCCATAAAAAAGAGGCCCCTTCTGGCAGCTTTGAGTTCTTTGCTGTGCTGTTGTCCACGTTCTAAGGAGAGGGGAATGTGCCACCAGCCCATCCCTGGGGGAGAGGTGGGCACTATGGTTTGAACACTCCTGCTGGGCAGAGAGTCAAACCAGGGTAGTTATACTGCCACAACAACCCTACAACCACCCTTGTGGAAGAAGTTGAGGATTCACCTCCTCCAGCTCCATTTTAGAAGGAAACCAGCCACAAATACCCTCTGAAAAGCACTTTCCTGCCTGGATGGGACCAGGTCTGTGGGGGTATGACAGGCAGGAAAACCAAACACACCCCACCCTTAGGTGGGTGATAAGAGAAAAATTGCTCAGGCAGAGGCAGCTCTGGACATGCAGAGAAGCCCAGCTCAGCATTTTTAGGGCTTTACAGTAACAGCAGAACACACCTACTGTGGGCAACACCTGAAGGAAAGTTTAGGTGGTAAGATGGAAAATCTGACCTGTACTGTCAGTGTAGATAATGCTTTTATTTCTGGCTGAGTGTCCCTTTATTGGTATACATGATATATATAATGTGTATATACATAAATTACATCTATAATATATATATTATACCTGCATGTGCAAATATATCTCTATATAGGTATAATATATATGTATGTATATGTATGCATATATGTATAATATATATTATATTATTATATACATATATAATAACATACATTATGTGATATGTACATTTATATAAATATACATACATATGCATATATTATTATAGGTACATTTATATAGAACATATAAACATTATATATAATGTATATCTAATAATAAATATGTATAATGTATGTGCATATTTAACAGGTATCACATCTAATATGCATATTTAACACTTATATTTCTAACACATATTTATGGCATAAAAATGTGTAATATTTTAATAGATGTATGATGTGTGTTTAACACATATATGGCAATGCACTTTTCTGAGCCTCTGACACAGAGCAGCCTGCTGAGACAATTGGAGACAAGAATATTTTAATTAAAATGAGGCTGCAAAAAGACAAGCTCAATAAATAATGACACTCAAACCAGTAGAATTCCAATTAAATGCAACAAATCACCAGCTTTATGAGAGTCACACCAGAAAGAACCATTCTGCATCAGTCTCATACTGGTTTCAGTGGGACTCAGGATATAATGAGCAGAGCTTTCAAGTCTCACTGGGAAAAAAAAAAGTAGGAATCCTTAATATTTATACTGCCTTCAGCAAGACATCAATTTAAAACTATCTTCATGTACTGCCAACCAGAGCGTGCAACAAAATCCCTGCAGTCATGTTAAGACAGTATTGACCCTTAAATATTTATAAAATGTTTCTACTGTTGCAAATAATTGTGGATATCACCATTCTAACAAGTCTTGGATTTGAGAACACAGAATTGGTATAGGCACTAGTCAGCAGAGGTTTCCAAATTACATTTTGGTTTTTTTTAATAGCTGCTTTTTTAAAGAGGAGCATTCTCAAATGCGTGTCAGGTATTATTATGAAATAACCAGAGCAGTGTTATCAGTACCTGCTCCTACACCAAAAAAGAAAAAAAAAAAAAGAAACTGAGGTGTTCTTAAAAAAACAAAGGCAAAAATAAAAGTCCAAACTCCTGCTTTGTGTGAGGGGTTTGATCTTGTCACCTAGGAGAGGCTGTTGGTGCCTGTAGCTTGTAACACATGAGCTGCTGCTCAGTTGTTCGTGGTGGTATCTCACTTCAGGATCTTCCCCATCTTCCTCCCGCGGGTGGTTTGTCCCCTGAAAGCTCTGAGTGTGAATGGCAGAGGAGAAGAACCACATGGTCTTTGTTTTTCTGGGCAAATTGTCTATTTATCTGCCACTGCAGACTCACCTTTGTGGATTTTGCTCAGGCAGGTGGACACAGCACCAGGCAGGTTCTGCCAGTGTGGCTCAGCTGTCTCCTAATGGAATCTCTTTGCTCTACATGGCATTGGGAAATATCATTGAATCAGAATTCCTTTGCAAAATCAGCAAGATTAATCAGAGGTCACACGCTGCTTTTAAAACAGGGACTGATTTCAATTTAAAAATCATTAGGAAGAACTTTATTCATAATTACAATTTCTTACAATTTCTCCTTTTTCTTATTTTTAACTTTTCTATTTTAGCTTTTTCAAACAACCAGCTTTTTTTTTTTTTTTGCCCTGCTTTTTTCCCTTCTGTGAAATTATAACCACACATCAGCTTGTTCTTTCGTACATCCTCTATTTTACTATTTGTTATTCAACATTCCCCTCTCCTCCTTGACATTTTACCTTTCCCGTACAATTTAAAGCACTCTCAGTGAAAATATTCAACTGTAGGCCCGCTTCTTTCTTTTATTTTCTCTCTCAAAACCCAGCTGTGTTCTTGGAGAGCCTCTACACAGGTGGGCATTACACTTTCAACCAGCTGCAGCTGTCCTTGGCCATAACCACACGTCCTCAGAATCACCAAGAAATGACCATTTTGAGAAAATTTAATACATAAAAGACTCAATAAAAGCAAGAGTGCCCTAAACACCCCTGAAATGTGGACCTGCTCCTCAGTGCTCAGGCTGGTTCTCAGCCTTATTCAAAGCTGGTCTTACATCAAGAAGCCAATCAGACAGCACAGTCAGCAGCACTCAGTTAAAATATGTACATGTATTGATATCTATCAATAACACAGGCTATACAAACTGGATTCAAACTGCCTATTACAGGTGTAAACCAGCAGCTAATGATCTCCCTTCCCATGCAGTCCAGGAACAGAACCAGTCGTAACACCCAAGCAGTCAGATCGAGCAGTTTACATGTGATCAGCAGCAATGGGGACACACCTCAGGCCACCTTGTTCTCTGCATCTTTATCCATTCAAAAACATCCCTCAAAGATTCCCCCTGCTCCAGTGTCTCCTGACTTCCTGCAGTTTGCTCTGTGCTGTCCCAAAAGCACGAAGGAGACCTTCATACTGAAAGAGGCTTGTGAGAAAGGTGGGGAGAGAGTTTTAACCAGGACTTGCAGTGACAGGACAAGGGACAACAGTTTTAAACTCACAGAGGGCAGGTTTACATTGGATATCAGGGAGAAATCCTTCCCTGTGGGGTGGGGAGGTGCTGGCACAGGTTTCCCACACAAGCTGTGGCTGCCCCTGGATCCCTGGAAGTGTCCCAGGCCAGGTTGGACGGGACTCTGAGCAGCCTGGGCTAGTGGAAGGTGTCCCTGCCCGCAGCAGGGGGTGGAACAAAATGATCTTTAAAGTCTCTTCCAATCCAAACCATTCCGTGGTTCTCTGACATTATAAAGAGTTTCATTCCAAACTTCTTCCATAAGCAATGAGCTGGTGCCTCCGGTGAAGTTAAACTCATCAAGCTGATTCAAATTCTCCCCCAGTTTAAAAGCCCATCTCCAAATTCTGAGATTGAGAGCAGAAAAAATAGAGGTTCATGGTTGAGATCAAGGAGAAAAAAAAAAAAAAAAGTCTCTTTAAGCCACTTTCCCAGCTGGTTCCTACTGAAATTAACTTTGCCCAGCTCCTGAGTTTCTGTGCCTGGAGACACACACGTGGATGGTCTGTGCTGAGCCCTGGCAGCAGTTGGGTGGTGAAGAGGTTCCCTTTGAGAGCTGCCAGTTTTTACCCATGCAGGTATGCTTCAAGCCAGTGCTCTCCAGAATTCTTCAGGGAACTGCAGGAACAGAAGTTAAAAAAAAAAAAAATTGTTTATGGGGAGACTATTCAGTTTTCTGGGAAGCAAATGGTGGTTAAAGGAATAAATTGAAAAAAATGGATTTTAGAGTGCATGGATATCTCAGAGCAAAGTCTGACTACTGGGAATGAGTTGAGAGGATTTAAGGAAGAGGAGGAAAGAAAAAAATCTTTTAAATTGCCTGTAGAAAAATCCAATTAAACTCAGCTTTGATCATGGACAGTGATTTGAAAGGGTTGCCTGCATCCCTCCCTTACATGACAGGCCAGTGCAAAACTATCTTGTTAATTGATACTTACTGCAAAATATCTACAAAGGCTGTCAGTAAAGTCTTGCTCTTGTATTCAATGCCGTGCTTCTCACAAAGGCTTTTCACCAGGGGAGCCACTTTCCAGTAGTTGTGTCGAGGCATGGTGGGGAACAGGCTGCAGGATGGGATGAGACAGAGTTATTTGTCCTCCCCAACCAAAATATTCCCCCCAAATATCTCCCTCAGAAGGGGAACAAAAGTTCTCCTGAGATGGCTCATTCCTGGAAACAAAGATTGGTTTGGGTGGGAAGAGACCTGAAATATCACCCGATTCCACCAGCGCCTTTAAGGTCCCTTCCAACCCAAACCACTGTAGGATTCCACAATTCTGAGTGCCCCACGTCATTACCACTCTAATGCCCAAAATTGTACTCACTGGTGCTCTATTTGGAAGTTCAGGTGCCCAGTGAACCAATCATTGAACAAAGACTGCTTCACATTGCAGGTTGCGTGGAGCTGGGAGGGAAAAAGACCCAAAAAATACACCATTTAGGTTTTATTTTCCCACAGGTCTGATGTTTGAACTCCAGCAACCATTGCCCACCCTCATCTTGCATAAAAGAAAAGTCAGGGATTACAGCCATCATTGACCTGAAGAACTAAATAAAGCCTAGACTAGCCAGGCTGAGTCTTTTTCTCTTAATAAAGGGGAAAATGCTTAGAACACACTACGTGGGATTATGTTGCTGGAGGCATTATATATGTGAATAAAGTTGCATTTACAGATTTATTTTTAGCAGATTTTATCAAATTTTGTCAGATTTCTCTCATCTGCAATAAACCTACACCCTGCAGGGTAAAAATAAAGGCATTCCATCCCACTTGGCTTCCTTTAGTTGGCCTAAAAGGGAGACTGACTGTTTCACTATCAGTACTTTTCTGCAATAGAAAGGAAAAAAATGCTGTAAAAAATATATCAACACCTTTCAGTCAAAAACCAGGATTTTTTTTTTTAGTCTAGATGTTTTGTTGTTTTACCCACTGAGGTTTTAAAAGGTTTGATTATCACAGAAAGGATATTGTCTTTGTCCTGTAATTCAGAAGTGTGGACCCAGGAAAGGAGCTTCTCACCTGAGTAGACACCCAGTCCTCGTTCTGATCGTACTGGATGTCCATGGGGATGTGGTTCATCTGTGTCACCCAGACAAACCAGGTGCTCTCAAAGTACCTGGGCAGACGAGCAGAGAAGCCCTTGTTACATCTCTAATCCCATCCAAATTTACCATTAAAACACACTGCTGTTTCTCTTAATTTGAATAAAAGAACACTTTTATGCAATTCAGGATTTGCTGTTCCTAACTTTTAGAGTGTAAGAACCAATCAACTTGTAGCTGAAGATGTCCCTGAGCAGCAGCCACTACCCTGAAGTTAAACTGTTCCTTCTTGACTATTTATCCCTGAGAAAACTGCAGGGACTGGAACTAATTTTAATTTATTTCAGTACTGATTACAAATATCAGTCCCGAGGACTCCAGATGTCCTGTGTGTTACCTGGACAGCCAATAGTAAATCATGAAGTTCTTAAATCCCATCAAAGGGACATACATGAGGCAAACTCGGATGTTGAAAAACACAATCAATATCAGGTCCTGAAAACAAACAAACAAACAAACCAACCAAGGTGAAAATCTGCCTTTGTTAATGAAATCCCTCCACTCTGTGCTCTCCCCTTTACTTGAACTGCAGCTAAAAACTGTTCTGATATATGGATTTCGAACTGGTTTATCAAGAGGAAGCTCCACACCACCATTCTGCAGCAAGCTGAGTGTATCCCTAAAATATTCCCACAAACACTCACTTAATAAATGCAGATAACAGCCCTATCATCACACTCTGTCTAGGTCTGAGTTTTCTCTTAACTTTTATTTATCTGCTAAAAAGGCTAAAAAGCCTTTTCTAAACAATTCTCCCGAGCTGCAGTGAGCCCAGAATCAGCCTTTCTGATCTCAAACCCCCCAAACAGAGGTAAATATTATTATTGTGACATTATTTGGGTTTTCCAGATGCTGAAGCTATGCTTACCAACCACTTTTTCCTCTTGATTGTAAAGTGGAATATAGTCAGCTGGAAGAAGGGGATGAGTGCAATTGGGGCCAACACTGAAGGAAAGAATGGAAAGAGAGAGGCATTTATAATTTCACAGCATCACAGCTCTTACAGAATAGTCTTTTGTGAGAACAGTGATTCTTCTTTCCAGTAGAAGAAAAATTGCTCTCTTCCATTTATACCAACTTTCATGCATTCACCCCTTTTTTTTCTCATCACTTCTTCATTTCTTTCCCATCCCTTTCTTCCTTCTACTTCAATTCCTCCTCAAGTGGACCTTCTTGAACATGAAGGGAGCTCTCTGGAGCTGTCACTTCAATCTTTAAAACACCTGTATTTTGGAGAGGAGATGCCCTCCTGATCTGGGGATACTCACAGAAGAAATACTTATGCTGGTAATTGTAAGGCATGAACTTCTTCTTCTTCTTTCCAAGCTGAAAAAGGAAAAGATATTGTAACGGGCCAGTGAAAGACTACACAAAAATGCTCCAAAAAAAGGCTTACAGGTAATTTGGATTTTGTAGGAGAACGAAATTCAATCTAATCAATGCACCATGGAGTGCTGAGGCTGTTGGTGCTTGGAGAGGAACAGGTTATTAACATGGAAACTGAGTCACTAAGTTGGCGGGTTCCAACTTTGGAGATTGGCACTAGCTGATCTTTAAGCTCCTTTCCATCCCAAACCATTCTAGGATTCTATGAATGCAGGATGTGTTTGCTGTGGAAGCTACATCTGAACTTCTGTATCCCAAATTTCTGACTAACAGAGGAGAGAGAGGGTGGTCAGATATGACATAGTTTGGAAGCTGTCCTATAATGTCTGCAAAATTATTTCTGCAAGATGAAGGTACTGAATGCTCTATAAAGGAATCTGCCTTCTTGTTTTGCCAAATACTTTGTCTTCAATTACAGAAAGGTTTACAAAAAGCACAATTCAGTTTATTTCTTTGCGGTGTATTTTTTCATTATTTGCACTAAAGGATTCTTAACATCATCTGACATTTTTATGCTTATAATTGTTCAAAAGACAAAATAACAGAGAGGGAAAGCAAATTACATCCAGAGCTCCCCTATTGCTGAGACAAAACTTGAACACCTCAAAGATGTCTTCCCTGGATCAAAACTGAAACAACAAAGGCAGTAGACAAACAAAACCCCTGAAATCCATTTTGCCTGGCCATGGTGTGTGGTATTTTGTAATTCTCATTACAGAAGCCTTTCTGAGACAGCAGAGCTGGAATTTTCCATGTGCCTTGGAGAGCTGAAGTTTCTTTGCTTATTACCAGCTAAAGGAGAGAAAGAGGCTTTATTATAAGAAGCTGATTAAGTTGCAATGAAGTAATTTCATCACCCTCTGAGTAAATAGAATTAGCAGGAAAAGAAAAGGCAAACGAGACCCTGGTGATATCAGAAATCATAATGGTGCAGGGAGGATCTATTCCTAGTTTTTCTTTTCATGAAAGCTATAAAATTTCGGATTAAGAAATCGTCTGTGCTTGTGTTTGGTGCATGGCAGCAATGCTGGTCCTGAAGGACTGAGGTGCCAAACAGCCAGAAGGACCCAGAGGGAACATCTGACTCACTAATAACCAACTAATAACATCTAACACTAATGCAAGTGCACTGACTCACCCCCTGAGCTGCCTCCAAGGCACTCACCCTTCCCTAAGCACCGATTGCAAGAGTTGGCTGCTCAGGAGCTGGTGCCTCAGCACTGCAAGAACCAGGCAGTACAGGAGACTCTCAGACCCTGGAACACTTTGGGAATTATCACAGAATCCTGAATGGCTTGTGTTGGAAGGGACCTTAAAGATCACCCACTTCCAAGGCACAACCTGGATGATGATGATGATGATGATGATGATGATGATGATGATGATGATGATGATGATGATGATGATTACCCCTCCCTCTATAGATTTCTGCCATTAAATCTACTTTTCCAAACATCCCCACGCTCACCTCCACAGAAAGTGTCTTTCCCAGGCTGAAGAGCAGGGGGTGCATGTTGAGGTCGGGGTCCTTACGGAAGCAGTTGGGCTTGGCGTGGTGCTGATTGTGCAGGTGGTTCCACCAGCTGGCAGGTAACCCCTGGGGAAAGGGAACACCAGGGACTCAAACCAATGATCACACTGCTCTCTATCCACCTCTTACTGACAGCTTGCACTGCAATTCCCTCCTAGCTGATCCTGCCTGGATAGAGGGACACTTCCATCCACATCAGCCCCAGAGAACATTCCCACGGTGAGGGAAATACCTTCAGGACATTTATCACCACGGTCTGCAGCAGCCGATTCCACCGGGGCTTCCTGAAGACAGAGCAGTGCCCCAGATCGTGCTGGAACCAGCCCATCTGGATCTGGAAGACAAAGGGATCAATGAAGAAACAGAATCTTGGCAGCACTGCGATAATTTCCCTTGGAATAATGATTTGCCTCCGTAACTTCATAGTGCTTCCTTCTGCTTTGGGAAAAAACCACTCCCTGATGTCTTCCATGCTCAGTGCTGAGAACTTCCAGCCAAGCCACTGTCCACTAAAGCTGCTCAATTCCAGGTACTGACTTTACCTGGAATGTAGGGAAAGCAGCAAAGCATCCCAACAATTAACTGTTACAGCATAGAAGTCCGTTTGCTCCCATCACAAATGATGGATTTCCAAGTAATCACCCAGAAAGTGGAAGAATTTCCAAGTCCACAGCTTTATTGCATTCCATATTCCCATGGAAATACAAGAGTGCTCTTTGAGGAACATCCATCTTAACAGGTATTAGGCAAGTAGAACAGATCATTTAAATGAGTTCATTTGCATTTGTTTCGTGGATGTCTGAGCAAGTGTAAGCTTTCAGCTCTACTGAGAAAATCTTTCTTCTTCCCCTCACCCTCCAGTTTGTCCCATCTAAGGGCCACAAAGTCCTATTCCCTCCTTTCCTGCATGGATCCTGCCCTTCTATGGTTGAATTTACTAATCCAGCAGAAAACTATTCAGGGTTAGTGAGGGAAATTGGCTTATAAAGGACCAAACAAACATCAGACAGAAGGAAAAGGGAGCCAAAAGTGCAGCTGAGAATGAAATAGCCCCTCTTTTGTGATTAGATCAGCTCATGCCATCTTGTGAAACAGCCAGTTCCACAACACCCCACCGACCCTTGGGCTGTCAGCAAAACCAGGTTTGCTGGAGGCAACAAAAATTGTGACTTAGAACGTGCTTGTCACCTTCAGGCAGGTAATAGGACCCGAGGAGAGGCAGTGGAGCCATGCCTGGGGTGTGAACGTTCCGTGAATCCTCTCCATCTGCAGGAACCAAACACGTCTGCAGCGCTGAGCAGCCGCCAGCACTTTACCTGAGCCACAGTGAAGAACGCCATGCCAGCCAGGAAAGGCACCAGGGAGATGCCAAAGTACCAGACCACGAGCCAGGAGGCAGCATCCAGGACCAGGAGGTGAAGGAAAACCAGAAAGAAGAAGAAGTAGTTTGGCCTCAGCAGTCCCATCTTCTCAACGGTGCAGCGCAGCTCACGGAAATCCTCCAGGAGGGATTTCTGAGGGTAAAGTTAAAACTAATGCAGTGTTTACTTTGAAAATGTAACCCAGCAGACTTGGAAACCCCAAAGCAGGAGATATTCTGTCAGAGGGGACTCAGTGCAAAAACAGGCATGAGATCAACAGGTCCTGCTTCTGCTTTGATGCTGAGACACCAGAGTATCAGGAGAGCTGAGCAGAACCTGGGGCTGGGGAGCTCATTCCTCACACCCCGAGGTGGATTTAGTGATGCTGGGATGGTCATGTTTCCATGCCTGAGCAGCACCAGCTGCATTCCCACCCCCAAGCCCATGGCACGGCATTGGGTGTGCTCCTCCAGAGAGGAGTCCTGCTCCCTCTCTTATTTTCCTTCTCCTCCCAGGCTGAACCCCGAGCCGTTCCCAGCGCTGGAATCTGGGACACTCACCTTTTTATTGGACTCAAAGCTGGGTTGATCTGGTGCCAGCTCCCCAATCAGCAGAGATCTCAAGTACTTTTTCACCAGGGACTTATCGTTGTGAAAAGCTACAAAGGCATCCTGAGAAACACAAAGGCAGGGAGTGAGAAGGGGAACGTGACTAAATGCCAGATGCTGAGCCTCTCCCTCCCTCAAGCCTTTGATACAACATGTAATCCACTTCCCCTTGTCCAGAACCCTTTGGGTTCCTCCTGCTGCTCTTTGCCATCGACTGGAGCTCGGCCCAAGGACGCTGGAGAAGGTTCAAGAAACCAGATTTCATAAAAGTCCCTGGGCGAGGCTGGTAATGAACATGAAAGGGGCTGATGAAGAACTCTTTGTAGAGGGAAACAGGTTCTTTCATCTGCTTGTTTCAGCACAGTCTGTCCCTAGAAGGCTCCAGCCGGCAGCCCTTCCCTATGGATGGGACCCAGGAGCTGGAGAACACGTCAGGGAATGGGGTGTGTCTTTGCCACGCTTGGGATGAGGCTTTTAAACTCCTGTTTGTGTCCCACTGGGGCCACAGGGAATATGTGCTGAAGCTCCTTACACAGCAGGAGTGCAGTTCCCTGCCAGTTTTCAGGCTGGGGGATGTTTTGGGGAAGTGGGTAACAGCAGTGACACAAACAGGTCCATCCAAGAAGCATTTGAAATCCGAGTTTCAAAGTCAGATACAAGCAATGGAATTCCAGCTAAATCAAAAGTCTTCTTTAGCTCAGTGCATTTTCCAGAGGAAAGGTGAAAAGGCTGGCCATGCTCTTTTTAGCTCCAGAGAGAGTAGATATTGCCAAATCCTCGGTGTTTGAGCAGCCAGGTACTTGCTGATTGTGGGTGTGAGAAACAACTTTAGTCCAGAAATAGCCAGAGCAAGGTTATTTTTTGGACATTTGGGCTTTTTACAGACACCCAGTGACCCTTTGTCACAGCGACAAGTGAATAACTCTGCCCAGACCCAGAGGACTGGCGAAATCCTGATTATGTTTTTATCCATTCTTATATACCTCCCTCCTGCCAGGAATCTGATCCAATCCATAAGTATCTACATTGCAGCTTGGAAAAAGGAGCCACAATCCCTTCAGGCAGGGATCCCTCTTCACAAGATCAGTATCACAGATTCTTATCACTGAAAGCCTCTCAGTCCTGCCTGTCCCTTCTCCTCCCTCCTCTAAGGCCCCGATAATCATCTTAAAATGAGATTAACTGTAAGAGCTATCACCTGCAACACACATAACTCCCAACATTTGACATCAATGCAGTGTCCTTGCTGATATTTTCAAATCAATCCACACAGAGGATGAAAATTCTCACTGTATATATACAGTTATGAGGTCTAAAGTAGTCAAGGGTACTTTAAAAAAAAAATCCTGGATCCTGGTTTCAGGTAAAGTCCTGCCCCAGCAATTTTTTGAGACACCTTCCCGTCCTGCTTTTCTGCACAAGTGTGTTTTTTCTCAGAATGTACGACCAGAGCAGCATTTTAAAAGCAAAAAAAAAAAAATGATACAGATTAGCAGAATGCAAATTGAGAGCAAGACAGAAGGATATTGCTGTGATGCAACACAAATCCACACTGTACCCACAATTTTGGCTACTAATTGTGGTCCTTTGCACACTAATTGTGTGCTCAAGGGGAGGCAGCACAGCTACACGTTGGAAAAGGCCTTTAAGTAAAATCAGATTGTAATTATTGAAATAATAAAAGCAGGTAGGATCAAAGGTCATCCTTTAAACATATTCACCCCAGACAAATTCACTGTGGTGAAAGCCCCTGGGTGTCTGTAAATGAAATAATCTAAATGCAGGTCCTTACACTGCAGGAGATGGGAGGACATTGCTTGGGGCCAAATAATTCCACACATTCTGTATTCCTTGAATCCTTTTGTAAAAAAAGTCCAGTCGCAGAAGCTGCAGGAGGTGGCACCAGGATCCCTGGGCTGGCTTGGCATGGCTGGTCTAAGTTCTTAAGCCACTGAGGCAGAGGAGAAAGCCAACAAGACTCCAACCCTTCTTTTTCTTCCTCTGAGAACACCAGGTATTTTTCTGCTCCAGTTTCAAGTAGGGAAATGTTCCACTCAGGGAGTGAAATGTGAAAAATAACCGGTCTGGTTTATTCTGGGCCGTGACCAGGGAAGTGTTATCCCATTTCAAACCAAAATCTGAGCGATTAGACAGGCTAAGGAACTTCCTTCAAGTCAAAAAGTCCTGTTGTGACAGGAATTAAATCTCCCACATCACAAGCTTATGCCCTAAACTTGGCCATGTTTCTGATGCTCATATTTCTGACTATTCAGAAATCCAGTTATCTCCATTCAGCAGAGAGATCTGCTTAGAATTTGTTATTTCTGCCAACAAGCCACACAATTATTCCAGAGAAATCCACCAAACCGACAAATTTTTGCAGGAGATCTATTTTCAGATACATCTGTGGAAGTTCTCCTCACCTCCTGCAGCCACTGCGCTGCTTTCTCAGCCCCAAGAACAGCGACCACCAGCACGTCCCCCTGCCCTGGCACTGGAACCACCTTCCTGCCCTGCCCTGCCGGCTCTTACCGTGGCATCCTGCCCGGCGTAGTGGCTGAGAACCCTGCTGCCTCCAGGGTGCTGCTTGGAGAACCTGCTGGCATCGTAGACCTTCCTGTCGATGACCAGCCACTGCTGGCGGCTCTGCCCGCGCCCGTCGCGCGTCCTGATCTCCTCCCAGGTGAAGAGCTGCGGGAAAGGGGGGACGGGACACGAGCCCTTCTCGCTGGGGCCCGTCTGGGGAGCCATCTGGGCACTCAGAGCTGGGATCCACCGGGCTCTGGAGCCTGGACCATCCCACCCTGCCCGTTATACAGCTCCCTGCAGGCCACTCCCTTGCGCTGCCAGGGCTGGTTGGCTCTCCCTGCCCAAACACACCCTCCCCTTCCAGGCGCTCGGCCGCACCCATAAATAAAAGACCTGTTGCTTTCTGAGTTGCCTTTGGAAGGTCTGGTCGCTCGTGAGAGTTGTGGGCTGCTCCGCTGAAGGCAAACAGGAATAAACAGACAGAATCAGGATTATCTGTTACCTCTAATTGTTCTCAGCACTGCCCAAAACTTTCAGGTTGTCCTTCGTCTTTGAAATTTTCTGTGTTGGCCCTGGCATGGTAAATTCACGTGTCTTTCTTAACTAAAAGAATTAAAGTGATATCAAATCAGAGCAGAGATGGTAAAGATTCAGAGTAAAGAAAGAACACAATTAGGAAAATATCCTTAAATTCCAGTTATTTTGGCTTGTTCGTTGTATACTTTGCATAGAGCTGTGAAAACAGAGTTTCCTGTATATTCTTGCATCATTCAATCATCTAACTGTTCAAGTAATTAATTTATAAGTCTGTAACATTAGAATATCTTGGAATTAAGGGTAAGAACAAGAATAATAACAATAATAACTGTTAGCACTAAGTTTGGCTGTAGATTGAGGGTTCCTAAAGCTATGTTTAAAGGCAATGTTGACAGAATTAACCTTACTTAAACATTACTCCTGAAGAGACAAAATCTAAACACCTGTGATGCTGAGAAGATCTGCTGTGCAGTGCAGAGGTGAGGAGTTCTCATCTGGAACAGACAGCAGAGAGAAGGCAGCAATGCCAGGCTTCCTATGGACACACAGCAATTTTGCCCATGACCCAGGAGAAACAGATAGGAAATACTGCCCTACTCGAGATTTAGGATTCTTTTAATCCTGCTTGGATTTTTTTGTTAATCCAAAATGATGAGCCCTGAGTGCTTTTGAGGAAGGCCCAAGCAGCAGGCAGATACAGTGCAGTCTGTTCCCAGTGACAAATCTGAAATCTCGGTTTTTGTGTTCCCCAGGGAATTAATACCAACCCAAAAGCAGTTGGATAGAGAGAGAGAGCTGCAATCCCACAGAGCAGACACCTGCCTTGCCCTCAGCCCTGCGTGGAGTGGGCAGTTTTCTGGCTGCCACAGAGCCCTAAATGACGCAATTCCGATTCTTTAAATCATGTAGCCTCTTGCAGATTAATCAGTCAAGCCCAAAACAGCCGTTCAGAAGTTCCTGACGTGTGGCAATGGTTGAGCCACCCCAGGTAAAAGAGAACTGGGACTGTTGGTATTCATCAGAAGGCAGTGACAAAAGAAGGGGAGGAATAATTTCTGCTCTGCTGTCACTCTGCATTTTGTAACTCTTTATCTTGCTCTAAATAAAAGTTGAGAGTGTCCACGCTAATGATGTGTTCCTGTTCTGTGTAGATGTGTGGAGTCTCACCTAAATCACGTTCAGCACTCGAGGTGTTGGCAATAAAATATGCAACAGTTTGCGCAATTTTCCACATATGTGGGTTTTTCAGATGGGAAAATATCAAGTCACTCCACAGCTGGTTGAAAGTACAAAATAACCCCTTCCCATGGCCCTGGATTCAGGCTTGTAAATGGAGCAGCTGCCTGAAAAAGGAGGAGATAAAAATGAGGTGTTTGATTTTGGTCACAGAGCCAGGTGTGAATGAAAATGGGATGTCTCTGTCCATGCAGTCAGTTGGGATTTCACTGTTAATACACACTGTGGGTGCCAGTACCCACCAAACTGCTGCTAATTAGATGAATTAAATTTGGAAACTCTAAGGTAATCGTCCTCTGTATTTACAGTGTGTATAATATTTAATGTCTGAATTTATTTCATATCAGCCCCCATCCAGAGGGTTTTGCAATGCCCATCAATATTCCATCACATTAAAACCCCTTCCAGTCTGAAAGCAGCAGCTTTTTCTATGTTATCCAGGTCACCAAACAGATTTGAGAGCTGCGTGGAAAAGCCCAGAGAGTGAAAGCCACAGCCATGCTTATCCAGAGAAACTATTGGGAAATCTGATAAAGTGAATTTACAGCACACAGTCTTCTGCAACAGCTTCCCACACACCTGCCAAAAGCCGTGTGGTGTGCTCCTGGGAGCTGGTACACGTGCTCACAGCTGTCCCCTTGGGACTGAGAAACTCCCTGCACAGGGACTTGACATAAATTCCCAGATTTCCAGAGAGACAGAATGTGACTCCTCAGCTGGGAGTGAGTTGTTGCATCAACACTTTTATCCCCCACAAATGTTTGCAGCTTAATTCACTGGAGATACGTGGTCCAGAAATTAATCTGGCACTGAGGTACCCCAAAAACATCTTGGAAGTAGTTCTGTGATTCTGTGAAGTGGCTGGACTTGATGATCTTACAGGTCTTTTCCAGCTTTAATAATTCCATGATCCCATTTCTAAGAAAATCTCCTTTTCCTTTAAGCTCTGAGGAATTTTGTCCTATAGGGTGCCATTGATTTTTTTTCACAGGATTTTTCTGACAACCTTTTCTACAGAAATGAAGTATTTAATGGGGCCTGTGACAGCACCTACCAAGTGAGGCTCCTGGGCAAGGCTGGATAGAGAACACCTCCTTTACAAGCTGTACAGTCTGCCCAGAGTTGTTTGACACGAGACAGGCATTTACAGGTTGTAATGGCCCCAGAGTTAGATGTCAACAGCGGGGAGAGCTGGAAAAGCAGGACCTTGCTCTGCAGCCACAGAAAGCATCTGCCCTAGAGTGGCTGCAGCAGGGAACTTACCTGCATCAGTTCATGGGCCAGCACACAGCCCTGTGGATAGAGCCCATTCCCCTTCCTGGATTTCATGGGCTATCATTCAAAACTCCCTCTTCTGTGACTCTGATGTGCCTCTTCCCAAACACAGCCAGGAAATGGAAACGTTTGTGATTATTTTATCCCCAGCACGAAGCTTAACGGGAAATCCATCATTCAGGACAAGGCTAATTTGGAAAGATCTCAATCTTTTCAAGAGGCAAAAAACTTTTGCAGCTGGTACAATTTTGTTTTGGGAAAGAAAAAAAAAAGATAAATCCAGTAACTGCTTGGTGAGAACATTAAAAGACACCATATAAGTCAGGAGGAGAAAAAGATCAGGTTTTCTTTTTTTTTTTAGCACATTCTGCATTAAGAGACACAACCCTGCATCTCAGATCAGGAATACATGTAATTTCAGAGATGGGAAGGGAAACTAAGGAGGTTTTTACAGACAGAGTCATGTTTGCAATGGAAACCTTCTCTTCCCTGCCAAGGGGTTTAATTTGCTTAGATATTCAAAGTTTTTATTTTATTTTTTTTTTAATTCCTTAACCCAGATTTCAGTAGTAAGTTAACACATGGGGTTTTTTTCCTCTATGAATTCAATCTTTATATCCTTTGCAAAAGAGAAAAAAACCACCTGTGAAATACCATGGTTTCCCTTCCAGTTTTGGGTGACATTTTATGGCTGAACAATAAAAACCCAAAATGAGTGCCTTGTAAATTATAATGAGGTCTAAAACTAGGTTCTGTAATAAGCCTTCTCACCCAAAACTCCCCACAGAACAACAAATTGCATTAAGACACATATTATTTTTTTTTTTTTTGTACCTCTGAGCAAGTTCCTAAAGCCCCTACCCAGGAGAAGCTGCAATGCTGCACAATGAGCTGTAAAACCTGGCAGGATTTGCTATTGCAGTTCTGATGGGACCTACTCTCACACGCACCAGCTGTGATTTCACACCCCAAATTCTTTTCAAACAGGAGTGATATCAATCTCTTCATCAATCACCACGTACTTCCCAGGTTTGTGTAGCTTATTTAACCTGCAATTTCAGTGAAATATGAAATATACCCTTTGCATCAATCAAATTCATGGAAGCCAGAACTCCGTGGGCTCTTCTATACCTTTAAGACCTAAATTCAGCTGATCTAAAGTGGTATATTCTAAATTTAACAGCTGATTAAAAGGCCTTCTCTCGAGTGCACAGGTAGCATTATGTATTATTAAAAAGGAAAAATAAGACCCAGCATAATTCAAGATCAAATTGTTAAATGCCTGTACGAAATCCATTTTGTTTTCCCACTGTTGTACATTTGGGTAGCATTTTTATAGCTTCTTTATCATTTATATTTTATATATACATTTATATTTATATTTTATAACATTTTCTGTGTTGTCCCACTACTTGCAGGCACACTTTGAATATTCTGCTCATCCACAGAAGGAAAAACCCTCCAAAAGGTGACTCTGCTTGAAAGTTTGTTTTAATTCTTGACTTGTGCAACGCTAATTAGGAACAAAATGGCATAAGCAAGGATTAAGACACCCCCAGCTGTTCCCCAGCCTACACACAGAGCACCTTCCTTTGTCTGTCCTTCCTGTGGGCCCTGGGCCACCTTCCAACCTCTGCAATCTGTGCAGCTGGGATCCTGCAGCAACCTGCCTGCTGTTCTGTTTGACCAGGATACAACTCCCTGGCCTTCCCCACCTGCCCCTGGCCTTCCTCAGACACATCTTGTGCTGGATATTCCGTGCATTTTGGCTCTGAGGTGTCCATCATCCTTAAACCTCCACATCTTACCCTGCCCACGAGGACATCAGTCATATTTTTCCTCTACGTGGCTGAAGAGGTTTTTGCCACTCAAATTTTAATTCCTTGTGAAATTTAATTTTTCTTTGACACTATTGCAGTTCCTACTTGCAGTTCCATGACCTTTTCACCACTCTTTATATTCCCAGCCTGCCTTGCAGATTGTTCCCCATCAACCCAAAATGCTCTTGGGAGTTTGTTTCTCCCCTCCTTGCTAGGGATGCAAGTCCCATGAATTTTATACCCTCCTTATATAGAGTTTATATAACAATCCTCACGTGGCATCACAGGCCCTCAGCATCATTTCAAGGGACAGAGGACATTCCAGAACTGCACATGAATGTCTGGTTGACAAAGAAAAATACTCAAGCACCAGGCAAGCACCTGCAAGGCCTGTCAGCATCCTTGTAACTCTCCAGCTTGGAGTAAGTACATGGAAGTCACACCCCATTCCTGTCCTGTTAGATCCTGGGAAGAAATGAGGGTGGGCAGGCCCTGGCACAGGTTGCCCAGAGAAGCTGTGGCTGCCCCTGGATCCCTGGAAGTGGGCAAGACTCCAAAGCACTTGGAGCAACCTGGGCTGGTGGAAGGTGTTGTGGAAAGAGATGGTCTATGAGGTCTCTTTCGGTCCCAACCATTCCCTGACTCCATGATTATTGGGCAGGCATTGTCCAGGCAATCTAGAGACCAAATCCAGACTGTTCTGTTTTACCTATTCCTTTATTTTTGGTAATTTGGAATATTTGCTCCAGACAGAAATATTTGCAGCTTTCTAGTTTCCAGTGAAGTCACGGGTTCCTGATCCTCCACTTGGATGAGAGGAGAAAAGGGAACAGGATAAAGAAAATTGTCAAAACGACTAAGACATAACCTGAGCTCATTGGCAGCATCCTCATTCACCTTTTATTTCACTTGGGCAACATCCAGCTTTTCTTACTTCACCTTGTTTCTTTTTCCCAACTGATTGTGAGACGATCCTGAAGAGGAATTCAGGCTCACTTGTTAGAACATTGGCCTCCCTCCTTGCCAGAAGAAGTTATCATTGAATCTGGGTCGGCAGCTAAGTGGTTGTTTTAAAGGCACTTCTGTTCATCCCAAAAGGTGGATTACGCAGCATGTGACCCAGTTAGGGTAATTCTGCCCACAGGACTGTCCTCATCTCTTTCCGAGTCCAATCAAACAACAGCTACAGCTTACAAGGAGTCATCTGCTATAAAATTAAATTATTATTGAATTTTGATATTTCCCTTAGTGGATAATCTATCCCAGCTTCCTCTGTATTGAACACTGGGCTAATTAACCTTGGCACTAGGAATTTACATCTCCTGTACAGCTTGGACTGGTATTGGTTCACACTTCAGCTATTCAACTATTTCTTTATCACTGACAGACTGAAGCACTCTCTGCTATAAAATTTCTCATTTTATGGTCAAGTCACTGCCTCTTCTTTCATTTGGTTGAGGGAGCTCCAACAATTTTATTCTCTCACAATAAGGATCTTTCCTAAAGCTTTAGTTTTTCCTCCATCTCTTTCCTGTATCTTGATAGCAGACATATCTATTTAGAATATTTTTTAGGTATTTATAACTTTGAAAGATACTAGGCCTAACCCAGGCATAGAACAACTTAAAATCTTCCCATGAGGCTGCTAGACTGGCCTTACCTGATCCCACCTCCCCTCTCCAAAGCCTTAGGAGAAGGGGGAGAGAAGGTGGAAAAAAGGACAGGCTTGGCAGGAGAGATGAAACAGAAAAACAAAAACAACAACAAACACCCAACCAACCAACCAACCAACCAACCAAAAAAACCACCACAACAAAAAAACCAGCCCCAGAAAGGAATTTCAAAAGGGAAGGAGCATCACAAAAAAATATTCTGCTATCACAAAAGAATATGTTGCTAAGAGCATCCTGTTTTAACAGGGGAAGCATCAGACTCTGGTCCTGCTCACATGCTTGTCTATCAAGTAGGTTTTTGGGCACTGGACAAGTTAAAAATCAACTTAAAACCAGTGTTGTGGAGCAGTTTTCATTCAATTATTAATGGCACAAACCCTGAACTTCCATTTTATGCATTACCAGCAATATGTTCCCATTCAAGGCACGGTGACCACGATTCAGAGGATGCAGAGAGATGTTGTTTCTTGGTGTGGGCAAAAATCAAAAAGCCAGGCTCCTTCTGGAGACCAGATCAAGGCAGACTACTATGGATCAGTCAGACTTTTGGCATTTTTGCCTAAAGAACACCATCCTAACCAGCATTTCATCTAAACTGTCATCAGTGTATTACTTTTATTGCTGTTTCAAAACTTTCTATGTGGAAATTCCTCCCCATTTTCCAAGCACTTAATACCAGTCACTGTAGAAAATGCAAATCACAGAGAAACCAAGTTCATGTCAATGAGCTCTCTCTTCCAGTGTCATGTAAATCCTCTTTCTCTCCCACCCATGAGTAGTGTTGCATTACTACCTCCCCTGTTAAGAAATCCCTTTATACTCCTTGTAAAAGAACTATCTTGGGAAGCAACAAATCCCCCTGTTTCCAAAGGTTCAGCTGCATCCATTACCTATTTTTGCATGGATATACAATCATCTTCCATTCTGCTTCTTTTCTAAAAGTGGAGAAAATCCTCTTCACCTCTTCAGGAATTTGGGATAAGGGAAGCAAACACACACAGAGAAGCTGGGCAAGGATTACAAATCCACACCATGCACAAATCGAAAGGAGTGGGTGTTGGGAAGGGGAAAATGACAGTGTTTTCCTGTTCCAGCTGGGGAACCATTCCAGTGGGGAACCATTCCCCCTCGTCCTGTCCCTCCATGCCCTTGCCAAAAGTCTGTCCCATGATCTGATCCTCCCCTTCTGATCCCTTGGGAAGTCCTCCTTCCCTTCTGATGCCCGACTGCCACCCTGTGGCAATTCCACAACGTTCAGCTTCCATTTTTAAGGCTGAACTGTGGAGCCAAAGGGTTTCCACTAAATGCCCAATTTGGGGCCAGTGTTGTTCCAAAAGAGAACCTGAAAAGGGTTTGGAATTCGCATTTGAACATTGTTGTAAAATGTCAGTACTATTAGTTTAAGAGTAATGTGCCACTGTGGACTGTAAGGAACCCAGAGTACTCACAGAAACTGAAGTTGTTATATAGGGTATTGCTCCTCTTGGGCTGGAGAACTCTTCTTGAGCCTGGAGAGCTCTTCTTGAGCCCGGAGAACTTCCAGCAAACTCAGCACATTCAGTTCTGGTTATGTTGATTCAGGTCCCCTTTTTTCTCTTCCCCTTTCAGACTCTGAATCTGTGTTCTTTTTCCTGGTTATTCAGGCATCTGGTTTATTGTTTTGTGGATGTTTCCTCTTTATTGTAGCAGAGAAAACACACAAGTGTATAAAGTCTTAGGCAGCAAAGTAAAACTTAGAGAGAACATTCTCTTCAAAACTGTCAACTGCCAGATCATCCCAGCCCAGAGAGCAGCTCAAATCTATTTGTATTTTCAAAATTAAACATCCAGATAATGATTGTTCTGACTCTGAGCATTCAAAAACAAAAACAAGAAGCCTCAGTAGTGCTGAACACTCCTGGCCTGCTTCACCAACAAATGGAGTTTCTTCTGCTCACCTCTTTGGCCACACCTTTTGTCCAAAGTCCCTCTCCAGCTCTCTTGGTGCCCCTTTTAGAGAGTGCAGACATATTTTACTCTGGTGACAGCAATAATTGGTAAGATAAGGAATTTTATTATTAGTCTTTCCTCCATCAACAGTTCTAATAAAAGGGAGAGAAATGGAGCAGGAAGAAACCAAGGTAAAACAATAAGGTCCATTTTATTTATGGTCTTAATCAACAGGTATTTAATGATTATTTTATTATTTCCATTACAATTTAATCCTGTGCTTTAACTACACTCTTGGCCTGGGAAAATGCATTCCTTCCATTCCTTCACAAGTCATGGATGTTGACTGGAAAAAGCACCACATGTTGCTCAAAACCAACCCATCCCTTCTGGGTACTGATCCCTGGGGTAACAAGGTGATGGAGCACCTTCACTAGTGCTGTGGCAGGTGCTCTATCCTGGTTTGGCATCTGTGTTGTTGGTGTGGTCAATGAAAAGACCCTGGGAAAGGCACTGTGGCCATTCCATAAATCCCACGGCACGTGTTCCCCTCTTGGGGTGTGTTTGGAAGGCACAACACCCAAGAGAGGAGGACCAGCAATGTTTTGGCTGATGTGAGCCTGAGGATACGCAGCTGACTGAAAAGTTAGACACATTTAAATGGCAGCCTAACCCCTAACACTTTTCTAACTTCATTAGGTTTGTCTGCAGCTCTGACAGGAACACCTCGTGCTCCCTGGGCCAGGAGTCAGGAGCTGTCTCCTCTTAACAGGAGTTAAAAAAAACCCTCCAAAACTTCAGGTGATTACAGACTGGTTATGATCCTCCTTTTCATAGAATTGTCACAGAATGGTTTGGATTGGAGGGGACCTTAAAAATCACGTTTTTCCATGGGCAGGGACACCTTCCACTAGGCCAGGTTTCTCCAAGCCCCCTCCAATCCAGCCTTGCACACTTTTGCTTCCGTGGTCACCCTTGCAGGGATCCTGAATACGGATGTGACACATTCCTGTCTCTTCTGACCTTCACTGATGTGTTTGTAACACCCCAAAGTCTGGCACTGTGGAAACCACTTGCAGATTCCCCGTGGGATGTTACCAGTGGACAACTAACCCAGAGGCTTTCAAAAGACATCTGGAGGGCAGCATTCCCACAGAACATGGTATGTGGAATAACCTCTTCTCTCCTGTTTCTTTACCTCAGTTAGATCCTATTCCCAGAGTGCTGCTACCTGCACCTTCTCCACCTCACGCACATAATATACAAATTGGTTTGGGGTCTCACTAATTACAAACAAGTATTTCAAAATACTGGACCTACCCGATTCCCTAGAGCTTCCACATTTCTCTAACTCCCAGTTCTCTTGATTTCATGCTGTCTCAGCATTCTTACAGTCACAACAGAACCACCCCAAAAAGCCTATGTTAGATAAGAAACTTCCCCTCCTAAATACTCAGCAAATGAAGTATCAGCAGATGGAAAGGAATCTGTTCCCAGTCCCAAAGCTGCCCCCAGCCTGGTGGAACAACTCCCCCCATTCAGCTTTTCCCCCTAACTCAGCACCAAACAGGAATGAAAGAAGCACAAGAAGAATTAAGAGCACATCTTTTAAAAAACCCCATCATATTAATTACATTCATCAGTGGAATTAAGTGGTGCCACCTCTCCCCACCTCTAGCTCAGCCAGCTTGGCCTCCTCTTCGCAGTGACCACCACGTGAGGCAGAAAGGCTGGGGAATTCCTCTGCAGGGACCCACTGCTGCTTATTTGTGCAGGTAGGCGTCGAGCCAGAGCTCCCCCGAATCTTTCAGAGAGCTGCCAAGAGAGAACCACACTTCCTTAGAGACAAGGAAACAAAAGACAACGTCCTCGTGGGAAGAATTTCCACCCAGACATAAAGCAAAGGAGATCACAAAATGGGCTGGGTTGGAAGGGACCTTCAGAGGTCATTTAGTCCAACCCTCCTGCAGGGAGCAGGGACATCTTCAGCTCAGCTTGCTCAGAGACCTTCAGAGACAAGGAAATGCTGGTTACAGACCCCTTGGAAAGAGGAAGAAGGAACAAACCAGTGGGGCTACATCAGACAAAGACTGCAAAGCTAAAGCAAACAATGTAATTACTTAACTAGAATGAAAATAAAAGGAGCAAGGGCGAATTTTTGACACCTGGGGGCAAGGAGAGGAAGAAAGAAAACAAACAAACAAACAAACAAAGAATAGATGACAGTTTAAACTCATCTTTATGAAAACACTTCTTTTCCCTGGCCTGTCCCTCCCATAATACCGGAGAACCCTTCCCCTGGGAACACAGTGCCCAAGGGGAACTTACTGCACAATGTCTGCAAAGGCCGTCAGCAGGGGCTTGCACTGGTACTCGATGCCATGCTTGGCACACAGGGACTTCACCAGAGGGGCCACCTTCCAGTAGTTGTGCCTTGGCATTGTGGGAAAAAGGCTGTGGGGAAACAAGAGTGGGATTCAGTGGCATTTGTCGTCACCTCCCAGAATTCCTGCCCCTCTCCTGCGCTTGGAGTGCCCCCAACCTCCATTTGTGTCACAGCCATTAGTGCTTTGCAGTGGTCCCTGGCAATTCCCACCCATTCCCATCCCAGCTAGCATTCCTTGAAACTCCCTGGCATCCCCAACCCATTCCCAACTCACTGGTGCTCGATTTGGAAGTTCAGGTGTCCGCTGAACCAGTCGTTGAAAAAGGACTGATGAACGTTACAGGTTGCCTGGAGCTGAGGGGAAAGATAAAAAAAAAAGTCATATTTTGAGTGCTATTTTAGGAATGCCCCTTCTCAAACTCAACAGCAAGCAGGTACAGGTTTCTCATCATCTTCACGGGAATTCTGGCTGAACACAGCAGCTCCAAGAAGTTATTTCCAGTCCCAAAGAGATGGCAAACTGAGATATGCGATTGTCAGGGACTTAAGAGCACAGATTTGACTTCCCCAGTGAGATGAGCCACAACAACCCTGACTTTCACCTCTTTAACTTAAAAAAAAACTTGAAATGACTTCAAAACTAAAATGAAACAGAGCACGAGAGAGATCTGGACCGTCCCTCCACCATCTGAAGGGCATTGTGGCATCTTTAATTATTCCCCTTGGGACTTCAGTGCTCAGCATTTGAAGTGTCAGTCACTTCTGCACCTCCTTCCTGGCACTGATCACGCCACACAGTGAGGACAAGCTGGCTTGTGTTTCCCTCTCTCCCTTCCCACCACTTCTGTGACCAGCTCCCTTGGCCTTCACACCCCCAGCAGAGTAAATTCTCCCCTCAGAGCCACAGATCTCCATCAGTAAGGTCTTACCTGGGTAGAGAACCAGTCCACATTCTTGTCGTAATCGATGTGCATCGGGATGTGATTCATTTGTGTGACCCAGACAAACCAGTTACTCTCTATAAACCTGTGCACACAAACACACGAAAAAAACCATTGCAGACCTCACACCCAACCAAAACAAGTCAGCACAAAACACTTGTACACACACAAGCTGTTTGGTTTCTTTTCTTGACAAAATGAACACCGGGAACCTCAAACACCATTCCACCTTCCAAAGACACAAAAGACAGAAAACCACCTCTGTCCTGCTGAAAGGCATCAGGAGAGAGAAGAACAGGGAGCCATAAGAAAGATAATCAGGAAGCTGAAGAAAAGCTGACAAAACAGGGTAAAGGAAATGTTGGAATTCTAAACTGAATGATACCTGACTAAGAGATGAAGCCCCAGGGTACCCTTCACCCCCAGGAAGGGCAAGTAGGTGAGGAAGAACCGGATGTAGAAGGACAACATCCAGGCCAGGTCCTGCAGTTCAGGGAACAGAGAAAAATTCATTAAAAGGAAGAACTTCTGGCTTCTGAATTTACCATCACTCCCTTTTATTAATTGACTCTTCCTCCCTGGCCTCATCACAAAGCAACCTGACACCAGCCATTCCTGTGCTTGGGAATTATCCTGGCGTTGTGAGCCCCAGCACAGGACATGCCCTAAAGCATCCTATTTTCCTCTGGATCTACAGAGAAACCAAACAGTGAGAAAAGCAAAACCCCGGCCAATTAAAAGAATAACGAGCTCTGGTTTACCTCCATCTCATCTGTTTTTGTTCCACTTCACATTTCTTGCAATCTCTTTCTTTCCCTCATGTTATTTTCTCCTGACCATCCCACTTCCCAGGCAGGAATAAAACAGCAGGATGCCTTCTCTCCGACCCCATCTCAGAGAAGAAACTTCCTTTTTTCCTGAATTTTTTCCAAAGTCTCTAAAAACCATGCTGTTCCCCAAAGTCCTAACAAGCCATCTCCCTAAAAACTCTGAAAATCTACTGCCTATCCCCTGTTTCACTTCACACTGAGCTGTGAGGATTCCACCTTCATTTGAGGCTTTCTGAAAGCTACTTGATTTTTAATGCATCATTTTGCAAAGCAGAGTCTCACCAAGCCCTCCCCCCAAACCCCTTTGTTATCCAGTGGATCTCTTACAGAGAATGGCTGTGTGGAAGGTGCCCTCTCTCCCCCAGCAAACACTACTTCCCAAATCATATTCCCACAGAGATGCACAGCTCAGAGTTCCTCCTCCCAGTAACTCCTTGCAGTGGAATTTATCCACAAACCAAGGAGAAGTCACCCCTGGTGTCCAAAATCCTGCTGGAGCTGACTTACCACCCACTGCTTCCTCTGCACAGCGAAGTAGAAGACGTACCACTGGAAGTAAAGAGGCACCAGAGCTGGGGGACCAACTAGAGTGCAAAAACAGATGGCAGAGGCATTAATTACCCCAGTGAGGTGGGCTGGGAAAGGAAGGGACTGAGTGGCTGCTGTCCACGGAACTGCAGAGGGTTGGGTTACTCACTGATGAAGAAGTACTTGTGCTGGTGGTTGTAAGGCATGAATTTCTTCTTTTGCACACCAAGCTGTTAAAAATAAGCAAATTGCTCAGTCTGTGAGTGCTGTGATGGGTTTTCATCCTGCTTTGGGTGCACAAGAGGCTGGGCACTCCCTTGCAAACTGACAGCCACCTGCACAGGAAGCTCCCTCCCTACAGAGGGCACAAGTTGCCTAAAAACGCTTAAATTGAAACCCACACGAGGCACTGAGAACAGTTTGCTGCCAAACAGAGTTTCAGGGGAAAAAAAAACCTCCAAAAAATAACCTATGATATTATTAATAAAGATGACAGCGTGCAGAACTCCCACCTATTTGCAATTAGTCTCCAAAGCAGATAAAGGAGCAACTAAACATTAAACTGTGTCCATGGGAATGAGAGTGAATAGATCATCTTCCCTCTGAGACTGCTAATTTTTCAGTGTTTGCTGTACAAACATAACAGATCATGCCACTGACTTCCTTAGGAATGCCATTATATCCCTGTGCACGTCTAAATGAATTCCCAATAGCCCATTCCTTAATTTCAGTGTAAATCAGAGCATTTGAAGTGACACTTTGAATTTATATGACTTTTTTTTTTTTTTTTTTTTAAAAGCCATCCAATTATCTCCTGAGCTGTACCAGGAATAGAGCTGGACTCCAGATGGGAGCCACTCTGACACCCACTGTCAGGCTGAGACCACCGAAACAGCTTCTTTGATCAGTGATTGTAAAAGTTCCAGACAGCCCTGGCCTGTTGTCTGCTGCTTCGTTCCCCAGATCCCTACAATTAATCAGTCACAACGAGCTTGCTAAAGAGAGAACAACTTGTAATTTCATCTTCATACCCCTGCAAGTGTCTCAGCAGGGAAATTTGGATTTGTAATCGTGGCAGATATTTCATTTGTATTTTCAAGCATGGCAAAAATAACTTCTGGCGAAATTTTAAGGACACAAAGATCTCAGAAGCACTGAAATATCGAGGTGTTACTAAGGAATATTGGGAACTAGTGGAAGGCAAAGTGGCACTGTATAAAACCCGCTGACTGAACCAAACGCTCTGTAGGCTCCAAGCTCCCTGCAGCTCCCCAAATTTGAATCCTGCTGCTGCAACCTCCCAGCTTTTGTGAGGTCTCACCTCTACAGAGAGTGTTTTTCCCAGAGCAAAGAACAAGGGGTGCATGTTGACGTCGGGGTCCTTGCGGAAGCAGTTGGGTTTGGCGTGGTGCTGGAAGTGGAGGTGGTTCCACCAGCTGGCTGGGGCTCCCTGTGGGAAGGGACGAGAAGAGAGTGCCCTAAAGATGTTGCATCCTCTGCCTTTAACCCTCCCTCTGGATTTGCTTTCCCCTGATCCTGCTCTCCCAGCCCCTCCCAGCCCCCAGTGCCCACCTTCAGGTGGCCGATCACGAACTTGTGCACCCAGTGGTTCCACCTGGACTTGCTAAAGACCGAGAGGTGTCCAAAATCATGCTGGAGCCAGCCAGCCTGGGCCTGGAATTAAAAAAAAAAAAAAAAAAAGAAAAACCCAAACAACAGGGAAAAAGAAGTGTCAGGAGGGCCTGCATCTGAAAAGGGCTTTATTCTTCCACTCCCACGCTCCTCGCAACGCATCCCTGGATAGCAAGAGCGCTCCCACTACCAGGACTCCATCCAAACACTCCCCTTTCACAACAAACCAATGCACTCCAGACTTTGCCTAACGACTTCTAGCCCTGGATAGTTGTTTTCGCGAGGAAGGAAAGAAATCCCGGGAGAAAAACAGCCCCGATGCCCAGAGACAGCATTTTGTTCCCTCACAAAACCGCCCTGAGATCGGCAACAAAGTCTCCTTTAAGGAGCAGCTTGCTGCTGCCTCCTCCGAGTACTTGTAATTCCGAGGGGATCAGCTGGCCACGGGGGGAATAGCTGGGGCTTTGAGAGCTGCTCTGCCCTCTCCTCTAACTCCCTGCAAAGTTCCCATGGGAACGTGGTGGCTTGGCCCCTGCACACAGCCCTGGAGTTCCAGCTCACCAGGGGAGGGGAGGGGAGCGTGGCTTTCGCTGGGAGGGAGGCTGGAATAAGGAGGGCTTTGATGGGACAGGGGAAGGGAAAAGCAGGGCAAAGCCTGCACTGCCACAGCAGCTCTGGAGTTTTGCCCCTTTGGCGGGAACCAGGGAGAAGCGGCATTTTGGGGAGTCTGTGATGCGGTTTCTCCCGTGGCAGTGAGCACCTAAGTCCCAAATGTGGTGTCTGGGGCTTGTTTTCCCCAGCTCCTTACCTGGACAGTGCCTAAAAGCACTGCAGAGAGGAGGAAAGGCAGCGTGGACGCTCCAAAATACCAGATGACGAGCCAAGCTGCAACATCCAACACCAGGATGTGGCAGAGATAGAGGAGGAAAAAGATGTGGTTGGGGTTGAGAAGCCCCATTTTCTCCACCGTCGCACGGAGCTCACGGAAATCTTCCACCAGCTTTTTCTGTGGGGAGGCACAAAAGCATCTGCAGGTCAGAAAATGCCTCAGGAACTTAAAGAGCAGCTGAGTTTCCCCCCTCAGGGGTAAAAAAAGGGAAAAGCTGAGGGTCACCTGCAGACAAATCTTTGCAAAAATACTAATAATGACATGGAATGAGGGGGAAACTTCAGCCAACAGAGTGATTCCAGGAGATACCATGATACAAGGAATTCTGGCTGCCAGCAACAGAAGTTAAATAGCTCCATTTCAACCCAGATCCCAAATTTTTAAGACACTTACATTCTTGCTGGGCTCAAAGCTGGGTTGATCTGGTGCCAGCTCCCCAATCAGCAGTGGGTTCATGTACTTCCTTACCAGTGTCTTGTCAAGATGAAAAGCAATGAAAGGATCCTGAAACACAGACACAGCAACAGGATGGAGAAAAATGATCATTTGGGAGGCAGGAAAAGAAATATATTTCATGGCATGTTGGACTCAGCAGAAAGCAACCCCAGCTAAGGGAGCTGGCTTGAGCAGATTTTACTGCCACAAATCTTACTGCCCTCCAGTTGGAACTGGAGGGTCCCAAAGGTCCCTTCCAGCCCAAACCATTATGTGATTCTGTGATTTGAAGCTCAGTTCTCTGTCTCATTTTCAGTCTGGATGGTTCTGAAAAGGCCATTTTCCAGCCTTACGATTCAAAAGATCCCTGCTAGGGAAATCAATGACTTTTATCATTTAAATGTAATGTCCTTCTCCATGGCAACCAGGTGAAAAGAATCACTAGTGACTGTTATCACATCCTATGTTATACTCACATTCTATCCTTATATTTGAATTACAAATCCCCCGAGCACACAGGGCAATTTCACATCTTATTCCTACCAAAGATCTCCCATTTATGCCTTTTTTTCACATTTCTCTCCCAACAGATATTTCCCTCAGTCTAAGGATGTTTTTTTTCCTCTTTTCTGAGACAACGTTTGCCTGTTGTGCATCACTGTGTAATCTTCCTTCATCAGGTGTTGTATATCACTATAATTACTAAGTCATCACTGTGTGCTTTTAAAATAAATTGTGCTTTTAAAAGATCTCTAGTCAGGAAAGGGGTTAAAAAACTGGCTGATGTTGCCAGCTCTGGGTCAGCTGGAGCATCCTCTCTGCTCAGGGCTACTGAATAAATGAGGGAAGGACAGAGGGGAACCACCATTTGTATTTTCTCTTTGCAAAAAGGGAAAGAAAACAGGGAGGAGTATGTGGGCAGATCAGAGGGGGATGGTACCACACATTTAAACCAATCCTTTCCATGGGGGCTGTAAAACCTGGCAGTGCAATCCCAGCTGGAGGCGAAGGGATAGCTGATTGGACCATCCAGAGATCAGAACACTCCAGTAGCATCTGGCAAACCAAAAGTGCTCTTTCTTCACTTCCCATTTTTCCCGGTTTTGAGGAGTCTTGTTCTTTTCACTCCCAGGACAAAACTGGTGGAAAACAAAACTTGGCAGGGGTTCCTGAGCAGTCAGCAGTTCAACTGCACCCAGCAGTGACACTGATGATATCACCTAAGGAATGCAGCTGGCATCCAACCATGCTCACACCATGTGCTGACCCCTCTCTGATCACAGATTCACAGAATGTTTGGGTGGGAAGGGTCCTTTAAAGCTCATTTCATCCACCCTGCCGTGGGCAGAGACATCTTCCATCAGCCCAGGATGCTCCAAGCCCCGTCCAACGCGGCCTTGAACATTTCCAGGGATGGGGCAGCCACCACCTCACTTGTTCCAGTGATGGGGCTTTGAAAATGCACACGAGCATGCTGAACTCAAGAAGTGTGTGCAAATCCACATGCTATCTTCAGCTTTAAGTGATATCTATCTGACGAGATCTTCACATGAAGATCTCAAGTTTCATCCTTTCTGATCAGGGACAAAGGTGAAACACAGTCCATCAAAACCACTCTTGGTGTAGATTCACATCCCATCCCCACCCTCGGGTCCAAATAGGTACATCTGGAGAAATTAACTTTCTTCTGTGAAAAACATAAGCAGACAAAGGGAGGAAACACACTGAACAAAATCACCCCACGCCCGACTCGAACAGCATCCACTCCACTTCGCAACAGTTGCTGGCATCCAGGCACGAGTGATTCATTTCTCTTGATGACTGAACTACGACTTTCAGTAATAATTTTGCTCTGGTGCCACCTCTTGGAAACACGGCGCTGGGCTCTTTAAAGTTCCAGGAGGCTGGATGTGCGTCCATGCACTCGCGAACAACTCTGCGTGCGCACACACAGCGGTGCCACCGTGAAACCCGCCTGTGCCACACGCATCAATCTGGAGACTTAATGTTCTTATTGACTCTGCCTGCAAAAATTAGGGAGGGCTTTTCCCCCAGATCAATGCCCGGCTGCAGACGCCCTGTTCGCACGCTTCTGAAGAAATTCCTTTTCGCAATTCCTTTAAAAATGTTTCCAGCTCCCGGAGGAGCGCGGGGTGCGCGTATTCCTCTGCACATCGGAGGCGACTCGCACCGTCCGTGCGTGTGTGTAACAGAGTATATCTCGTTAAACGTCTTAAAACGAGCTCTGTTCCCGTGCCCAGTGATCCCCCCCCGCGCATCCTTCCTCCATCCCGCCCCGGGATGCCGGGGATGGATCGGATCCCCCCCCGCTCCGCTCTCCCCTCACCGTGGCGTCCTGCCCGGCGTAGTGGCTGATGACCCGGGAGCCTCCCGGGTGGCTCCGGCAGAAGCGGCTGATGTCGTACACCTTCCTGTCGATCACCAGCCAGCGCTCCTGCGGGGCCGCCCCCCGCCCGTTCCGCTGCCCGATCTCCTCCCAGGTGAAGCGCCGCAAGCCCCGAGCGGGCTCGGAGCCCTCCATGGCCCGGCTCGGGTGGGTTCCGCCTGGGCACGGCTCGGCTCGGCTCGGCCCGGCCCGGCCCGGCTCCTCCTCCGCGATTCCCCCACGCCCACTGGGCTGCGCTCGCCGTGCGCCCGCCCCCGGGGCCGGGGGGGACCGGGGGGATGCTGCGGGATTCGGTGATGGACGTCACGGAACGGCAGGGAATCCGGGCTCCCGCAACAGGCGTCCTCGGCTGTCCCGCCTGGAATGGTTCGCAGAATCGTTTCGTTTGGAAAAGCTGCCTGAGAGCATCGAGCGCTGCCGAGGCACGCCTGACTCATGTCACGGAATCACCGAATTCTTCGGGTTGGAAGGGATCTCTGGAGATCACCCGTTCCAACTCTCCCTGCCGAGGCAGGGTGACCTGGAGCGGGTGACACTGAAAGGCGTCCAGTGGGGCTTGAATCCTTGCAGGGAGTGAAATTCCACAGCCTGTTCCGCTGCTCTGCCACCCTCAGTGGAAAGTTCTTCCTCGTGTTGGGATGAAACTTCTTGTGTTTTAGTTCATGGCCATTGCTCCTCATTCTGTTGCTGGGCACCACCGAAAAGATGTCCCCAAGTGCCACATCCACATGGCTTTTAAATCCTTCCAGGCCATCCCTGCAGGTGACTCCACCGCTGCCCTGGACAGCCTATCCAGGGGCTTGACAACCCTTGAAACTTTGCCTCATATCCAACCTAAACCTCCTCTGGTGCAACTTTAGGCTGTTTCCTCTTGTCCTGTCCTGTTACCTGGAGGAGAGACTGACCCCCCTTTCCCACACTCGAGTTGCTTCTTTTGAACCACTTTCACAACCTGTTTCTCCTTATTTCTGGGCTGAGGATGTGTCACCTTCCCTACACTGAGTTTTGTTTCCCCTTTGAAGCAAATCCCTTCCTCTCCTCCATCTCTCCCGCCTCTTCCTTCCAGCTGCCACAGCCTCTCCTGTTCCTTTGGCTCTATTTGGCTGCTCCTTCTTGATATGCAGCTGGAGGGAGGAGAGGTGTTGTCACAGGTATTTATCACATATCAACCCTGCAGCTGATTCCTCGTACAACAGACTATTGAACGGTGTTACAAGACCAATGATGCAAAAAAAATCCATCTGTGTGGGGCTTCATGCATATCAATTACAAATGTACATCCAATGCCTCTCCCCACATTCCTCTACCTCCTCCCTTTCCATAATAGCACCAGTCTTCTCCCTGATCTCTCATTATTGATTCCAAATTTCTTTGTTTTCATTCACACCTTCCAATCTGACCTAGTTACAGCAATTCCAGTTGAATGTAACCATAGAAACAAAGAACCACCAGGCTGCATCCCTTTGTGTTCTGAGCATCACCTGATGGCTACATCACGTCTTGGAATTCTATCCCTGCAAAACACTGGATCAAGTGTACTTATTTCCCTCCCTTTTGCAATGCCACATTGTCACTGTCATCCAGGAAAGAAAAGCTTCTCTCCTGATCTCAGCAAAAATCAAGTTGCTTTTTATGTTGACTGTCAACTGTCTCACCAACATAACCAGAAAACACATTAATAAATGTTTAGCATATTTTAAAATATAAAAATTACACACAGAACTGTGCAGTAATTATTTCAATTTCCTATTTTTTCTGATTGTCTGTTGCACAAAATAATAACTGTCTTAAATTTATTTCATATTTATGAGTTTTCCTCATAAATACTGGGGGAGAGACACGTAGGACAGTTTTATTTTTCCTATACAACACATTAGAAAAAAATAAATTCTATCTTCCTACACAAGTCAAACCTTTGGAAACCTAAGGGCCACTGAGCTTGATGAACTGCACTCTTATTCCCCTCATATGCCATCTGGGATGTCTCAGAGACAAAATGGGATCTTTGTGATAAAGACTGCCAGGGAAATCCAGCTGCTGTTACACACCCTGCATCCAGCTGTGGCTCTTGGCATCCCGTCAGTCTCTGCTGGAAGACAATTAACTTGGTGAAACCAGACCTTCCTGACTCCTTGTTTTACCTCCACTACTCCCATCTCCATATCTGCTGTCACCATCTAGCAGTGACCCAGCTCTCCAGGCTCTCAAAGATCACCCAAAATCCAAGGGGAGATAAGAGATGTGCTTTGATTCAGGCTTCTGATCTGGCTGCAAATAATTTCTGACATCTCAGGTGGCTGGGAATCACCACAAGTTGGAGAAAATATATTAAAATTCCTTATGCCACTGCCATGATTTGGCTGTAATGTACTTTAAAACACACAAGTGAGCTGGGCGATGAGGGATCACTAAATATTTGGGCATCTGTTGACCAAAACAGTAATCAGGGAAAGAGGAGATGGATTGAAAGGAGAGCAGCCTCTCTTTTACTATCAGGGAAAATGAGTTAGAATAGTGGATGGTGAGGTCTGGAACCACAAGAAAAGTTAGGGGAACCTAATAAATGCTGAAATACATTTTAAGAGAGCAAAGTCTGAAAGAAGAATCAGTCCTTGGCTTTGGTTCAGCCCAAGAAAAGCTGAAGATGCCGAGCCCATGGGAACTGTGGTGGTGTGATTTACAAGCTGCTGTCATCAGTGCAATTAAAACAGCCATGTTGATGAAGCAAATGCAGGAGGGAAACACCGGGTTTATCATTGTACTCCTACCAGGGAAGAGTTTGAAGCTCTTGGCAGCTCACTGTGACACCACTCCTGCACCAGGCTGAGGATCCACTGGAAGGACTAGTGTGACATCAGAAGAAGGGAGAGGAACTAGAAGTATTTCCTCTATTCTTGTTGTATTACTGGGAATGAGCTGTAATAATTGGACAATTTGGCCTAAATGAGTTAGTATTGTACCTGGAACCCTTTGTTTGGATTGCTAACACTTTATGCCAGCAACAAGTTCTTGATTTTGCATAAAAACGATGTACCTTCATTCCATATTAAATTGATGAAGTATTTGATCGATTCTCTGCCCTAACAACTGATTGTTAAAATCTAGATGCAAAATATAAACATGCCAAAGTGAAAGAATTAATATTTTATAGTGTGGATTACAGGAGGAGGAAGATTGGGATTTGGGAGCAGTTTACATCTCGCCAGAGAAAGCAACCAGGAATATGTAAGGGATGACACAAAAATAAGCTTATTTTTTTTGTCCTTCAGAAGAAGTAAATTCAGATTAGTAGCTGAGGGAGTGAGGAAGTAATTGTTTAGACTTTTATACATTTAAAAGCAAAATCTGAATAAGGAGAAAAGGAAAGAATCTGATGATAACACAAGAACATCAGTTGTTTTCATTAGAAATTATTACAAATGAGATTCTACTGTGAGGCAGCACCAGAACAGAGCATTTCTCTCCTTATTCCTGTCCTGGTGGGGCCTTGCAGTGTCTGCTGCTTTCTGTAGTCCAGCAGTGTGACTCTGTCCCCTGCTTCCTTGGCAGCCAGAGCAGTTTGTGCCCTGAGCCTGATAATCCCCCTGCCAGCCCAAGATCCACTGCAGAATGTGGAATCCCTGCCAGCCAGGGCACAATGGGGATTTCTGTTTCCTTGTTGGTTGTTCCCCTTGTAAAGTTACTCAGCTCCCAGGACTGGAAAAAGTGCCATCCACTCTGGAATATGTCAGAGTGTAAAATATCAACACATCTAAGACAGTTTTTTGTCTCAGTTTTAAATGCACTGAGTGCTGCAGCATCCCTGCCTGACCACTGAATCTCTCACCTCAGGCTCCATGTTCCAGCATCCCATTCCCTAGCCTAGTTAGGATGGGACTGAGCTGTTTTCCACTATGTTTGAATTCATTATTCACCCAGTTCAGAGCTCCTCAGCCTTTCCTCCTAGTGACAGGGAGGGAAAACATGAGATCCTTTCTCTCCTTACATGTATTTTGCCTTGGCAGAGTAGCTAAAGGTATCCAAAAATCTGAAGATGCAGCTAAATCTGATCCTCACTCCGTTTTTCTCCCAGTATGCCCAGTTTCCACTTTCTGCCTTAGCCCATCCCATTTTTCCTCTTCACATACCTGCTCCCATGTCCTTCCCACACACCCTTGTTCACTGCTCCCTGCTGCTCCCTCCTGTTCCCACCCCATGCCATGGATCTATCCATACCAAGGGATGGATCTCATCCTTTA